CACAGAGGCACAGTTGTGAATCAGGTTTCCAATCTCTGGCTTTGTAGCCAAATAGATACCTAACTGCCCAGACCGCTTTTTTTGGAAGTCTGCATTGGAAGGGACCAGTGTGGTCTCCTATTTACTAGAAATTAATTGTGCCCTACTGTTCCATACAGTTCTGGCAGCTTTCATAATTACTTTTTTTTTGGGTAGGGCTTGGGATGGGATGTCTTTCATGCTGAAATGTTATATTTTGGCAGAAAGCCGGACTTCTGAAATGTTGTGTGATCCTTTTTGTAGAAACTGGAACAGTGGCATGAGGTCTTTTTCTATGGAGAAGGAAAGGTATCTTACCATGGTTGCTGGATTCATTGAATTCAAGTCCAGTCTACCACAGAGAGCACAAAGCCTTGTGAATGTGCTCTTGAGCAAATAACTGTCTTAGCACAAGATTATGACACTTAGGTCAGCATGTTCACTTGGATAACACACATTTTCAGGTTATCTACCCCACAATTGCTCATGCCGTTCTGGTGAGTTTTAAAAGGGGAAACTGCCAAACATCATTAACCCCCAAATAGCTAGCATCCCGTAAGTAGACTGAAAATATCCAGTTCCTTTCAATGGGCTAATAATGTATTTTGCTGTCCAGTGGATAATTCTAATGACAAGCATGGGCTAAATAAAGTAAGAGGATGGGACTTGATTTTGTAAAAGATTTTTCCCCCTCACAAGAAACATTTCACATTCTTGTGTTTCTGCCTGGTGTAACACGGATGAATGTCACCATGTCAGCATCAATGAAATATTATGCCCGTTCATTACTCAGGCACAGAACAGAATATATTGTTAAAAAGGCAGCCCTGATGTTATGATAGGCAGCAAAGAATCTGCATTATACAATGATGTGTGTTTACAGTAATAGGACAAATTTCCTTTCTCCAAACCATTCAAAGTTACTGTTAAATAGCTTGCTGAATATAAAATGGTTGCTTCTAGAGTCACATGCAATATACTCTCATGACTTCCTAAAAGATAAATCCACATTAGATACAAAAACAGTATTGTTAGGACTGCTTCTAAAAGCCACTCCGGATCTGTATCTTTCCCATTAAGCCATGCTTAATGTTTGTGGGAGAAGTTTTGAGTTTTCATTGCACTTGGGAAAGAATCTGATAACAAACCACTTACACTAAAGATTATTGACTTGGGGTTCCATTGAGAAAATCAACGAATAGTTGAATTTTCTTTAATATCTTTTCCTGTTTTGTACTTTGAAAACCAACAATGGAGATTTTGCGTTTTTCCTTTTAAAAAAGCTAGTGTGTGATCAGTAGAATAGAAAAAAAAAAGAAATATAAAGTGCTTCTGAAGTGCTTGGGCTTACTTTGAATAATAGATAACTTTATAGAGAAAGTGAACGATTAACAAAATCACTGGTAAGGTAGTTTTGCTGTACACCCAGAGCTGTAACTAGCAATCTTGGCACCTAAAGCAAATGGTGTCGTCTCCTATCCTCTCTGCCATGAGTTAGAAGTGTGTCCCCAATGCAGAAGGAGGAAGAGAATATTGTGTGTCCCAAAAAGAAAGAGAATGTTAATGCTTTTTTTTTTAAGGCCGATATGGTCAGGAGATATTCCTAACAATGATCAGTAAATGCACAGCAAAATTTTGGAGCCTGGGGCAAAACACTAGTTGCCTCAGCTTAGTTATAGCCTTGCTTAAAACCCTACTTTTTTCCCAATAGAAGAGTACTGTGAACATTGGCTTGGATATTGTTATTGCTTTTTCTTGAGTCGCATCATTGTTCACAGTTGCTGATTCTTGTTGGGTCCCAATCTTGGGTCCCCAGATGTTCTTGGACTAGAACTCCTAGAAATCCTTGCCAGCACAGCTAGTTGTGAAGGCTTCTGGGATTTTTAGTCCATGAACATCTGTGGGTCCAAGATTGGGAACTACTGTGACATACCATTGCTATTAACCAGTTGTTCAGCACCCTAATTAGATGTGAGCCTGTGCCACAACATTGCATCAGTTGCATATTGACTTGCAGCAAGTAACATAGTACAGTACTGAACAACTTGGCTAAAGCTGCTTTTCAGTGATGTATTACTTGCATCTGAGATGATGTATTAATGTGCAAATGTCTGGCCATTAGATGGGTAAAAATCTAAACACATACATACATACATACATACATACATACATACATACATACATACATACATACATACATACATACATACATACATACATACATACATACATACATGCTGATGCACTGTATGGGTGTGTTCCTTTGAATATTAAGGAAGGTGAGGCCCATTCCACTACCCCTTGAAAGAAAACAAAAGAAAATATTTATTTACCCAGTGTGTTGTTAGTCTGTGGAACTCCTTTCCACAGGATGTGGTGATGGCATCTGGCCTAGATGCCTTTTAAAAGGGGATCAAAAAGATTCCTGGAAGAAAAGTCCATCGCAGGTTACAAGCCATGATGGGGATGTATAAACTCCAGGCTTAAAAGGAAGGTACCTCAAAATGCCAGATGCAGAGGAGTGGTATCAGAAGACTGGTATCTAGTTGTCTTTTATGCTCCCAGAGGGATCTGGTGGGGCCACTGTGAGATACAAGAAGCTGGGCTTAGATGACCAGATGCAGAGGAGTGGTATCAGAAGACTTAAAATATATGTAGGATTGCAACCTTTGATTCCTTGAGTTCATGTGAAAATTTGTAGGTCATGCCCTACTATTGCTCCCCTCCATACCAGTTCATGAGAATAAATGTTGTACAGTATTTCCCCACATGGGCTCTTCTTATGTTCTTATGTTCTAAGCAATATGCATCCGAATCTTGTGTGTGTTTTCTTACAGATAAGTTATACTATATCTGATAGAATTTCATCAAAATATATGTAGGATTGCAACCCTTGATTCCTTGAGTTCATGTGAAAATTTGTGGATCATGCCCTACTATTGCTCCCATCCATACCAGTTTATGAGAATAAATGTTGTATTTCCCCACATTGGAAAGCAATGTGCCATGATGAGTTAATTTAAATCAGGTGTCCTAATGACACTAGCTGGAATCCTGTTGGTGTTCATAACTTGCCATAGCTAATTGCAGATAGATAAGATGCTAATTGCAGCTAATAGATAAGACATCACATGTCCAGGATATGCCGTGGTTCCTTGCCTTTTTAGGCAAGATGTTATGTGAACACTAGCAGGATTTTGCCTGCTATATCATATATTTCCTAAGCAGAGTTTTATTAATCTTTTTTTTAAAACTAGGATTTGTACATTTTGCCAGAGTTGTTCAATGGCAGAAGCCTTACGTGCTTTATTCTCCCCCCTCATGGAGAGAAAATTATTACAATAAACAATAACCATGGCTACGTGCTGTATCATGTTTGGAAACATTTTACCGTGTGAAATGCACCCCACCTTTCAGTGTTGCTCCTTTCATTTTTACTCTGTCTTGGCCCATCCCAACTCCCCTTTGAAAGAAAAAGGAGCAAGCAACGAATGTTGCTAGATCATAGAGCAAAGAAAGTGAAGATCGAAGGGCAAAATTCCACTCAGCACCCCAGTTGGTGACCACTGTCTCTTCATAGATTTGTTGGAATGATATTGGACAGGGGCATATGCAAGGTGAAGGATGTACCTTATATCTTACCCTGGCCACTTTGTTTTGGCCTAACCCATTGCTGGCATATGCCATCTGAAACCCTTTCCAAATTGGAATTTAGCTCCTGGGCTGAAAATAGTTTATTTTGTTTTTTTCTAGAGTCTCCTTTTCTTTGATTCATGGTTCCAGGAGGTTTCCAGGAACAAAATGGTCTCCCCTTTTTTAGTGCAAATAAATGGCAGTGGAGAAGTTTCCGTGAGCTCCAGGAACTGCAAAATCAGATGGGGCACCATGTAACCTCCATGTTTCATGTGGCCCGTCCTGATAAAAGATAGGTTGCTACAAGCTGTTCTAGGATGACCTGTGTGCTACTCTCGTTGTAAGTCTCTCTTGCAAGGGTTATTGACTAGGATGACCTGTGTGCTACTCTCGTTGTCTCTCTCCAAGGGTTATTGTTAACTGTGTGTAAGAGGTTGCACATGTGTGCAATGGAGGCTGCACTCATGGCTGCATTAGTCTTTTGTCCTTAAAGAGTGTATCGGTGCTAGAAAAGAAGAGAGCTAAGGGTTAAGGATTTTCCAATTCTTTGGAATACAAGCTTGGAATTAGAAGAGGAGAAGGAAGTTGTTGAAATTCACTGTGTTGCAGATGTAATTTCTACATATCCAAGAGCAGTTACAGAGAGAACTACCTGAGTAATATTTGAAAGGGGCCCAGTGGCCTAGTACTGCCATTATCATGCCCTTATTTTCCATCATCTGGGAAGAACCTCAAGCCTCTGTTATTTCTGCCCCAAAATTTGAATCCAAGGGAGCGTAGGGTATATTTTTGATACCTGTCTTTTGTCTATGGAACTTGTCTTGTGAAAGGCTTATTGAAGCCTTTCATAAGCCTTAGCATTTACTAGAAATAAATCAAGGCATCGTTTGAAAATGAGTTTAGTTATCAGAGTGAGGCAGGTACATTTTCTTTTGGTATTAAACAATTAATACTGTAATGTTTCTGTTTAGATTCTGTTGAGTTCATGGTTGCCTGCCCCATGCCCTCAGGATTTAAACCTCATTTTGTAGAAATACTAGTTCATTACTACAGTTTATGATATCACACAGGTAAAGCCTTCCTTTTAGATTGTGTATACCTATTTAAGGTTTGTCAAATTGTTCAGGGGAACAGTTCCAGCAAAAACATTGAATTAATTATGTGTAGCTGTTAAGCAAGTATTTATTTCTCATGTAAACCTCGCATAAACTGCTATCTAATTTATCTGAGGGGAACATTTTATTTTTCTTCAATCATTCCTTTGTTTGAATTACTCTCTCTCTTTTTAATGACATTTTGACATCCTTTGTATAGACTGTGCATATTAATATGATTGTATTTACTTGTAGGTGGCTCAGACCAAGAGAGCTGATCCAGCTGAGTTGAAAACAATATTTTTAAAGGTATGTTAAAAGTAAATATTTTATCTTTTAAAGCCTTGGTTTTTTCATTTCTTTGGCTCTTATTGCATTATTCATCTCTTGATAGTCTTCTAACCATTAATCATTCACTGTATTATTACCATGTTAGATTTAAATACCACTATCAAAATTGAACAATGCTCTCCAAGAAGTCAAATACATTCTTGAGTGATTATTGTATAGACTCGGGAAATATAGCTATCTTGAAATTAAAATGTATTGCCCCACCCCAACAGAACAGGAATTTCAACATTTCCTAGACAGAAGGCGTGGTGGTACAGAGAGACTCCTTTAGAAGATTTGGGCATTAGAACTACAGTGTATAACCTTTTTTTCCCCAATAGTCTTTTCCCCCTCCCCTTTCTTAAAGCTTTGGAATATATGTGGCCAAGAGTTGAAGCTAATGCAGATCCAGTTGCCCTGCTCTTATGAGAGACCCACTGTGGATGTAGCTCCATCTAAATCAGTGACGGGAATAGTGTAACCCACCAAGACAGTTTTTGTGGCCCCTTGTGACCTCCTGATCAAAAAATACCTGATTTCTGGAAAAAAAGGCCCCTGTAGTGGTGATTCTCTTTCTCAAGAATCCTTGCACTTTTAAAAAGTGAGTGTTAGTATTTTGAGAAAACCTGAGCTGAATATCTGGCCATTTCTGGTTTCTTTTTCTATCTTTTCCCTAGTTTAGAGAGGTTTTGGTGCAGCTCATGGGAGGAATGGGAAAATAGTCTTCAGGAACGTGACCTAAATGCTTGTCCTGTGGAACGTGACCTAAATGCCTGTCCTTGCTTAGCAATCAGGAGTAGGCTGCAGATTTATATGCTGCTCTAACCACACAAAACAGTGATTTGGCATTACATTTCACAGTTGTTAAGAAGTATTTTAAACTGTGTCTCTAAAGTCTGGAATCCAAATTAGACTTTGGAAGAGCTTGTAACGATGGAAATTATCTAATATTAATTGTGCTCCATCAAGTCATTTCTGATTTAATGGTGAGCCTCCTAAGTTTTTCTAAGTATAAGGTACTCAGAACTAGTTTAGTAGTCCTCTTTCCTTTTGTGGTGACATTCTGGGACTGTACAGCTTGCTCAACATGGCACAGATGACAAGGCACATAAACACATGCTCTGGGTGATTTTAGTTGATCCATCTCCCTGGGAGATATGTTGGGAATTCAAACTCCAGCCTCTGTGCTAAGCTGTATAAGCTATAGTGATTAATGTGGCCAGGCATAAAACCAAACCATTGTTAAGAATGACAGAAAGAATTCAAGAGTGAGAAGAAAGGGACACAGTACTAGATTATGGTGTAGGTGTAGGAAGTGAGATGCATGTGCCAGCTTTGCACATTGCCTTTAAGTAATCCAGAAAAGGGCAAACTGAGCCCCTTGAGATGTTGTGGGGTTACAGATTTCATCAGCTGTAGCCAGCCTAGCTAATGATGACAAATGATGAGATTGCAGTCCAAAAGCATGAGTTGCCTAGACCCACAGCAAGCCATTCACTTTGTGCTTTTGTCTCATAGAATTTACTCAGTAGGCATAGCATAAAGCAGCAGGTTGGTGATGAGGAGTTCATATTGTGTTTTTGCTGCTTCCTCTTCTTTGATTAAGAAGTTGAAGCAACGAATACGTAAGAAAGGTAGAGAGAGGAGTAGCATTTTCAACAAACTCCTGCAAGAAGGATATTACGAATTAGTTTGTATGCTGCTCTTCTAGAGCAAACTGTTCCCAAAGCAGCTCACAATAAACATTGCTTGTCAGAAAACATCACACTTAAAGGAAGAAGGGAACAGAGAGAAGCATTTTTGTAAAACAACGGTAATTTTAAAAACCCTGCTCAAATTGCAGTATTATCTTGAACTTATCAATGTTTAGTGCATCAGAAGCAAATGAAGATTAAAAGGTCCAAAAATGAGCAACAAGGTTTAACTGAAACTATTTTATATATTTATTTGATCAATTGATCGATTGTTTATTCATTCATTCATTCAATTTGTATACTGTCCATCTGACCAGCGGCCAATAGGACTCTTGTTGTTCTTCCTCCTGGAGACAGCAACCAATTACAGATTCTGAGGTTTAAAATCCAAATACAGTATATATTAAGTGAGCCTTATGGAAATTGGACTTCTGAAAACATAGTTATCTTATTACAAAGCAGCAATAATTACAAAAATCCTGCTTGAAGCTCTCAATTGATGTGGTGAAGGATTGGATTGGGTGTATAAATGGGGGCTCATTCCAGAGGCAACCAAAGTTCATTTGGTCAGTGGATAGGCCAGCCAGGGTTTGGTGTGCCCTACATGGGATTGTACTCTTCCTTGAAGGATCACATATGTGGTTTGGGGAGATTTAGCACTCTCCTACCGTGTTTCCCCGAAAAGAAGACCTAACCTGAAAATAAGCCCTAGTATAATTTTTTCAGGATGCTCCTAATATAAGTCCTACCCCCAAAATAAGCCCTAGTTAAGTGAAACCTCACCCTCCACCATTGTGCAGCAACCAGACGATGACATTACTGTATCTGAATAAATGTACATTGCTGTACATGACAAAAAATAAAACATCCCCTGAAAATAAGTCCTAATGTGTTTTTTGGAGCAAGAATTAATATACAGTGGTGCCCTGCTTGATGATGGCCCCGCTTGATAACGAAACCGCTTTACGATGACTTTTATGCGATCGCTATAGCGATCGCAAAATGATGTTTCTATGGGGTTTTTTTGTTTTACGATGAACAGTTCCCTGCTTCGGGAACCGTTTTTTGCTAGACGACAATTAGAAACAGCTGATTGGCGGTTGGCAAAATGGCTCCCCACTGTTTTCCGGACCGATTGCTTTGCAAGACAGGGATCTCAAAATGGCTGCCCTATGGAGGATCTTCGCTGGACGATGAGGTATTTCCCCCATTGGAACGCTTTGACCGGTTTTCAATGCATTCCAGTGGTTTTTTTTTTCCCACTTGATGACTATTTCACTTAACAGCGATTTTCCTGGAACACATTGTCGTCGTCAAGCGGGGCACCACTGTAAGACCCTGTCTTATTTTCGGGGAAACACGGTAGGTGGATTAGGTGACAGCCAGCAATCTTTATGCCCAACTTCAGCTGGTCAAGACAGATCTGGTCACAGTGGTTGTATTCCATGTATAACGCAGAGTCTGTGAGTTTCTATTAAATCTGCCTGCCTGCCTGCCTGCCTGCCTGCCTGCCTGCCTGCCTGCCTGCCTGCCTGCCTGCCTGCCTGCCTGCCTGCCTGCCTCTCT